CAACACCAAAGTGGGCAACAGTTACAGTTTACGTTACATACATAACAAATTCAATTCAGTTATTTGAGGGGCAGCAGCGAATCGTGTGCAGACATGGAGCAGGCGCACTATTGCCAGTTGGCCAGGCTAAAGTACGTAAGCAGAGGCTGTTAATGTCCCTAGTTGTTGTTGTTGTTGTGGTTGTTGTTTAACTGTGCAGAGGGCCGCAATTCTTATCAATGACAATGACGTAGATGGCGTGCAGAGCACATTGAGCCGCTGCCTCTGGGCTGCAAAGCGAATTTGGGGCGATTGAACATTAAAAACTGTTGCACGACAGCAGCAAGCAGACAGTTCATTCAGAACAGTCATAGCACGCGGACAAGCAGCCAACAGTGAACACTCTCAGCCCGAACGCCGAATAGCCAAGCAGCACTTGAAGAGCTGTTCAGCAGTCAGGCAGTGAGGCATCTACCAGAGCTTTAGCTACAGCAACAGAGGGTCAACCAGAGCAGGCCCATCTAATTGGGACACCGAACAAAAGTCTTTCGCTTGTTTACCAACGTTCCTGAGTGTGTGGCGCGTGTGTGTGTGTTTTCGTTTTGTTTGTGCCACAACATGCAATTGTCTGTGGGAGCAACCGCTAATGGTCGGTGCCTGATGTGGGCGCTGCTTTTGTTGTTCGTCGGATTGGCGGCAGCGGTGCCAGCATCTGTTCTAGCCCAGAACACGGAGCTATCCACCAATGCGAACAACAAGCTTCAACAGCAACAACAACAGCAGCAACAGCAACAGCTACAGCTACAGCAACAGCAGCTGCGGGAACTACCGGCAGGTAAGTGCAAAAAGTTCAACAATTTAACATGCCTGGAAAGTGCGTGGGTCGGCACGCTTTGCTTACATACACACATACGTCAGGCAACGTGCAGTTAATGTTAAAGGTCATTTGAAAATTTCACATTTGAAGTCAAAAAAAAAAAAGAAAAAACAAGAAATAAGAAAAATGGACATGCACGCTCCACAGTACCCGCCGTTTAAGTGAGTGCCGCATAATCATTCACTGTGCACAGTAGAACCTAGCTAAAGTGAAAAGGGAATGATGTTTCAAGTACCAGTTTGTTTGGTTTTGAGTAAAGTTAAATGTAAGCTGACAAGAAATGTGCAATAAGATAAATTGAAGGTAGCAAAGGTACAAAAATAATCTTCTTTTCTTAGCTTTCCATAGGCGTTTTGTTTCAACCTTTTTATAGCAAAAACATGATTTTTTTTTAGAAATTAGTAAAGCAAAAAAAGAAATTAATATTATTATATCTATTTTCAACTAATATAATAAGAAACTAAGCTAAATTCAAAATAATATATTATAAAAAAATACAACAAAAATAAAAGAAGTAAAACATACAAACATTACATAATTTACACATTAAAAAATAAGTAATAGTAAACGAAAACATAAAATTTTATAAAAATAGATTATTC